ACAAACATTTTTGAGAGACAGCTGCAGACAGACACCTATTTTCAGAAACAGAGACAGAGGAATACACAGGGCAGAATTAAATGAAGCGCACTAGGGCTTGTCTAACTGCACGGGAGACAAAAGTCCATTTTCTGATGCAGGATGGAAGTTGGGATATACATTGGTGATGAGCAGGATGCACCTCCCAACAGCAAGTGACATTTTATTTTCAGTTTATTTTGTTTCAAAACCATTTGCATGTCATACACTCATTAAAATATATGATCGCCAGATTAAACTATATCTTAGCAATGAAGCAAACAAAAGACATGGATTCATGACTGGTTCAAGGTGACTAGCAGAGATGAGAGAGCCTCTTGAGTAAAGTTAACGTGCTTTTCATGTATAGAGAGCTTCATTGGGCCAGGGGAGGTAAAGTTGACCTATTGCACTGAGCTCCATGGGGGGGCTGTATCAGGATGTCAAGGTAATAATGCACACGGAAGGGATTTGAGTTATGGTGAGGCTAAGTAGGGAGGCGGTGACTGAGGGAGGGAGCTGGATGACAGAGGGAAGGTTAAGCTCTATGGAAGGCAGCACAAGCGCAATAGAATGGGTGATGAAGAACGGTCAATGGTGAGGCTGGGAAGGTCGAGGAAAACCAGGAAAAGGTCAAAGGTGATGGGGCAGCATTGAGGATAAAGGTTGGCAGGGCCAGGGTGTGGTGGGAGAGCTTATTGATGTCAAGGTGGGTGGGGTTGTAGATTTAGATTGTATTGATCAAAGATCAAGAATCCTGCAAACATTAGAAATCTGAAAATGCTGAAAGTATTTGGTAGGCTGGGAAGTACCTGTGGAGACAGAAACAAATCTATTGGCCCAGGCTGACAACCTGTTGTCTCCAGCATCTTGATATTATTTCAGTTGATCAAGGGTGAAGATGGGTGGCTCCAGGATCACTGAAAACAGGTCTAAGGTGCTGGAAGGAAGGTCGAGGGTGGAAGGCCAAAGGTGACTCTGGGAGTGGGGCAGGTTGATGGCCTGCACTCCAGTCACTCGAGGATGGCAAAGCAGAGGGTGGGTGGCAGCAGTTTGAGTTCAAACTCCTCTCAGCAGGAGGCAGACGGTGCTGCTGGCTTTCAGGCAGTGGGTCCCTGTCCAGGTGCCATTTCAAAATGGTGTCCAGACCTTTGACCACCGTGAGTTAACAATGGAGTTGACAACATCCTGTTCACCACCTCCCCCCTCAGCCAAGCAATTGGCCAAGTCCCTCAGAGAACAAAGTCATGGCGATAGGAGAGAAAATCTTAATCCTTCATAAATTCAGGAAGCAACCCTGAGCCTCAGGATTTGAAACCGATAATTTTCCAGCTGAATACTTCTTCTGGAATATTTATTCAAGGCCTTTGACACCACATGCTCAAGATAAATGGAGTCTCCCATGAAGACGCTACAGATTTACCTGTACCTAACTGAGCTTTATAGGGACGTGCATCATAGGATTGCTCCTCAAGATATCTGACCTCAGCATGGGGACAGTAGGCAAGTAAGTCCTAGTGTCAGGATTTTGGGAGGGGTGGGGAATGGCAGGGGAATGGGTTGCTGGCATACATCACTTAGGGGTTTCCACTCTCGGTATTGGAAAATGGGGTTGTGGTGAGTGAATGGGCTACAGAACTCCCCCATGGTCAAACAGCTGACTCATTGTCATGGTCTAGACTCACTTCAGAATAAAGGCCAAATGAGTGAGGTGCTGGGGTGTACCTAGAATCCATGGATTTGGAGTCCAGCAAGGAGGGGGAGCAGCTTGAAAAGAGCTGGGGGAGAGAACAAGCTGAAGGTCACCACAGTGGGTCTTTGAAGAAAGCAAGCTGTCAGGGAAAGAGAGAGAGACTGACAGCTGGAGGGGTTTCAGAGTAAGAGGGAACAGTGCAGCTATCAGCCGAGGGGTTTCCCTCCAACAGACACAGCAGTAAGTGGTGTGAAATTAACACTGATTGGACTGAGGTGTCTGTACTGTACAGCAGGCACTGTGGACTGACACTGCTTAATAACACGAGGGCTATACCGACAGGGCCAAGAGAACTGGGTAAATCATTGACAAGCTCAAAGAAAAAATGCAGAGTCAGATGTCAGAACGTGTTTGAAAGAACTGGTAAAGAGTTGCAGGCTGTGGAAAGTCAGGAAAGTGTCTTGTTAAAAACATTTGTGTGGGTTGTCCAAGCTTCTAAAGATGTGATTGTAAATCAAGTGATGAAAATTGTACTTTATTGCTTCTGAAGAGGTAGTGCAGGTCAAGTAGAGACCAGCATGGATTGAATGTAGAGAAAAGCTGCCTCTCAACAGTTCCTGTCAAACACTCCCAGAGCATGCACAGCATGGGATAGGATGTAGAGTAAGATCCATTTGCACTGTCCTCAATATTATGGTTCATAAGTGTCTCAATCCTTATTCTTTTGAGGTACCTGGAATCACAACTTTGGACTATTCCAGATGCTGAATCTTTGGTCACTGTCTGCCTGCGGCACACTCAAAATATAAATGTAATACAAACTGAGCCACTGGCTATGGAGGAAAATCAAGTTCATTAACTGAGCAAGTGATTTCTCACAATGTAAAAACATTCAACCTCTACATCGTCACGGTCTGTGATATATAGTCCCACAAACAGGAAAAGTATTGAATCATCTGAGTGATAACAAATCGCCTGCCATGTTGATTCAGGTTTTTCTCCCTTTTCCCTGGAAAGCAAAACAAAACAATGGAAATGGAGGCAGAACCATCCCAACATTCAATGCAATAGCGAAAACCCTCTAGTAAAACTGAGGGAATAGTGGGCCTTTTCCCTGCAGATGCAGTTAAACGACAATAACTCCCATGGGAGTTAGCAAATGGGCCAAATACTGAACATGGGACAGCTTGCAGGTTTGAATGTCAAGGGCAAATTGCACTGTGCTATTTGAACGTCAGTCCACGGTTGTAGTTCTCTGCATTCCTAGCTACAAGTTGCACTGTGCAGTGATGATGGATGCTATGCATGAATTGTGTTCCAGTGCCTTCCCTGCTAACATCCCTTGCCAGGAGCCTCACCATCTGCATTCTGCCCAATGGAATAAACATGGGTTCCTTGTTTGCTTTCCATTATTAACTCAATTCATCTTATCCTCAATTCTCTCCCTCTCCCCTGAAAGTACCAGCTGGTGGGTGTCAAAGCTGGAGGTGAGTCTAAGATTTGGGGCATTAACGGGGGAGGGGGACTGCACATTGGCAACTTGGAAAATCACCAGGCTGAAAGACACTTAGCAACAGGCTTAGAGGTGTTTATCATTGGTTCTGTTAAGCTTTCCAAACTTTTCCAACACCTATCTAACAGAAAACAGCATTTTCTAAAGCAAAACTGACACACTTGAGGAGAATGTGGCCCAAGATTGTTTTTTTCTTTCATTGTGATTTAGCTGGTTCTCAGAATGGGCTGCAAAGTAGCCAGGTAGCACAGGGATGCAGGGGCATTGAGATTATTGGCAGGCTATGATGAATTGTGGGTTTATATTTGTGCTTGCTACCTGCTGTGGAGTTCAGGTTTGATGCCTGCTATGGAGATTATGTTGGATGTTCAGCAAAGCTTGTGTGTGTCAGTCACTGTATGTTCTGATCTTTATGACAGCCCACTCCTAAATGACAACACTGACTACTACTCAACAAGCTCTTCACTGGCTGTAAGATGTTTTGAGATTTCCCAAGGTTGTGAAAGGTGACATATAATTGTTTTGTTTTTAAACTCACTCATGGGATGTGGGTGTCACTGACTGGGCCAGTGTTTATTACCCACTCCTACAGACAGCAGTTAAGAGTTGACTGCATTGCTGTGTGTCTGGAGTCACATGTAGGCCAGACCAGGTAAGATTGCCTAATTGACAGACTGCCTTTCCTAAAGGGCATGAGTGAACCAAATGAGCTTTTGATGACAATCGACAGTAGTTACATGATTGCTACGAGACTGTTTATTTTTTATTGAATTCGAATTTCACCATCTGCCGTGGCAGGATTTGAACCCCTGTCCCAGAACATTAGCCTGGAGTTCCGGATCAGAGGAAAAGTTGCCATAGTCCCATTAGAGAGAGACGACTGGCAGTGAGTTTAACCTGAGGGTCACCATGCCTCATGCGAAGGGAATGGTTGTGAAGGAGAGTCCTTTGTGGTAACATCAGCCAATGTGGGAATTGAACCCATGCTGTAGGTGTCACTCTGCGTCAGACTGAGCTAACCAACCCTCAATTACTTCTGGATTGCTAGGTCAGTGACGTCATCACTACGCCACCTCCTCCCTTCATGATTGTCCTTCTATAATTTATTGGGTTCTGCTTAATTCAAGCAGGGAGCGTGAAAAAGGGACTAGCAGATTCACTCACCCTGACATTGTGAAGTGTTGGTTCTGACAGCCAGAAAATGCGATACTGTGGGGACAAGCAATCCTTCCCCAGAGCGAAGGGCACAGGCTGGCCTCTGACATGGAAAGCTATATGAGGACCCTGGCAGAATAGTGAAGAGTCCAACCATGAAGTGGGTTGGAGGTGGCAAGGAAGCAGTAACGCCCGTGATGGTGTGGGAGAGCTTACTGATGTCAAGGTGGGTGGGAGGGGTGGTAGATCTAGATTGCACTGATTGAAGATCAAGAGTCCTGTAAACATTAGAAATCTGAAATAAAAACAGAAAATGCTCAAAATACTTGGTAGGCTGGGAAGTACCTGTGGAGAGAGAAACAAATCTAATGGCCCAGGCTGATAACCTGTTGTCTCCAGCATTTTGATATTATTTCAGTTGATCAAGGGTGAAGATGGGTAGCTCCAAGATCACTGAAAACAGGTCTAAGGTGATGGAAGGAAGGTCGAGGGTGAAAGGCCAAAGGTGATTCTGGGGAGTGGGGTACGGTGATGGTGTGGGTCACAGGCTACTGAACTGCTGGGTGAATATTGCTGAACAGGCGCTAGAGATAAAACTTCGATCAGTAAATGGACCCTTACGAGAAGTGGGAGTCTGTTCCAGCACCTTCACCCTGGCTCGTAACTCAGCCAGTGCCTTGCGCTGTCGCTGAATGACCTCCTCGTGTCGGTGACCTTTGCACTGTGCTGCAAGCCTCACAACCTCAGAGTGCACTTTATCCTGGAATGATACGTTTGAACAAGAAAGATCTACACGTTATCTTTTGCAGTGAATTGTGACAGTCACTGATGGAGGTCTAAACAACAGAAAGACAAAGAATGAAACTTGACAGTGTACCCCTTGGCAACAGGTTTTCATTCTTACTAAGCTGGCAGACCTTATTTGTTTGGTTTTGAAGTTTAATTCGCAGGAAGAAAAGAGGACTGTCTGAGTTAATGACATCGGATTGTAGTGTGGATAATGGAGGTTCAAATAACTGAAAAAAATTTCAGGAACATAATGACAAAGCAACTTAAAACCGTCGCTTTCGCTGGATAACTTATATAACTCTATCAGAAGGGCAGAACTGCTCGAGTAGGGATGTGGTCAGGGAATGTGCTATGTTTCTCATTCCCAATGGCAATGGGTCACGCAGAGCAGAAAAGCTAGCACAGACCAGTTCGGTCAAATGGCCTAATTCTGTACCAGAGGATCTATCAAATGTACAAGTGAGGTAAAGATTAGGGGTGCTGTCCCCAGCCCCCCACCATTCTGGGGCGAATAGCTATTTTACTAGGTACAGGGTCATTAATCCAGCCACTAAACCATAGACCAGAAAGTGTCACTTTTAGGAAAAGGAAGAAAAAAAAATGGATGGGCAGCTGGTAGTTTTACAGCAGCATTGAGGAACGACAGGATTATAAAGCTCTATTAAGCGTCATAACTCTGCATTTTTACACAGACCTCACCACGTGGGTAATAAAACACTCTCAGCACGTCCCTTACTCTCACGGGCACTATTATCTGTTCAAGCAGCAGCTCTCGCTCTCATCTTTGTGAAGCTTAATTCACCAAATCCTTTACACATTCGATCACAAATGGGAAGGGGAGAGACAGAGCTACTGCAATTAGCAGGGCCAGGAAGCTGTTTATAAACGGAGGGAGGAAGGCCAGTGCTGGGGTCCGTCATTAGTGCTGGTGTCAGAATAACAGAGGCAGTAGGGACACTGCAGCATGAATCTCAAAGTATCCAATCCACCGGATTTACAAAGGACCACCAGGCTGTAGTCTAATGCAGAAGGAAAAAATGTTTTCTTTCCCTGCCTGATAATCTCTGTATTTATGCAGCAGGGTTGCTTTTCAGTACAATTCATGATTCCACCCTTCACAATTATTTCAGTTCATCAGTGAGGATAATGCCTGCTTCAGGGCTACTGAAGGATGTCTCCCTACCTCTCCATTATTCACGTACAACCAGGGCTTATAGAGTTCCTACCATTTATATTATCCGACCCTTTGGTTGTGTGGGATGCATTAATACAGAATAGAGCCACAGAATAGGGGAGGTCCCACCCCCAGTTCTCTCACAATCTGACAGAATTTAGATTAAGAGGGGAGAATGCACACTTCCACGTCTGACACTGAGCGGTTACTCAGTTATGTTTCCAAAAGGCAATGAATTCTCTTGGTACTGCAAGGATTTCTCTCTCTCTCTCTCTCTCTTCCATCACGCGTGTTGTCACATATCCTGAGATTGGCACTTTAATTTCACTGATGGAATTACCTGCCAGCAGCATGGAAGACAGACTCAAGAATGAAATAAATTCCACCAGTTCAGTGCATCAAATGAGCAACATTAATTCTCCCCTCCCTTCCTTCACCAAAGCTTTTCGCTTTTCCTCAGCTATTGCTAGGCCAGACAGGAGAACTAAACATCATTGTGCATTTCTATAGCCATTATATTTTAGGAATACACCTCAAGGTTCACAGGGGCATACCTGGTAAAATCTGACACCAAGTCACTGAATCCTATAGTATGGGAGTAGGTCACATGCCATCAAATCCACACAGACCCTCTGAAGCGCATCCCACCCAGACTCAGCACCCAACGCCTGCATTTCCCACAGCTAATCCACCTGGACTGCATATCTTTGGACTGTGGGAGGAAACCCACACAGACACAGGGAGAACATACAGTTACCTAAGAGTGGAATTGAACCCAGGTCCCTGGCAGTATGAGCCACCATGCTACCCCAAATCACATTAAGAAATAATGGAACAAGTCACTCAACCACAAAGAGGCAAAGCAGCTCACCATCTCTTTCTTCAGGGTGTCAGAACTGGCAATAAATGCTGGTCCAGCCAATGAAACCCACATCCCGCAAAAGAATTTAAAAAACAGTTTTGGAGAGCATCTTAACGGAGGAGAGAGAGAGAAAAAAAGTCTAGGAGTGATACCCACAAAGTCTATCACAGGTATTTATTGTACTCATATAAACTGAGTGCTTCCACTGGTAAGTTTGAGGTCTCCCATGATTACTGGGCACTCTGGGGGCTGGAATGCATTACTTCCTCTCATAATAAGATTTTAATTTAAAGTTTCCGTCGAACTTTTGATCCAGATATGGTGTTCCTTTATGTGGTTCTTAACTTTTAATTTGGTTAATTTGGTGTAATTTAGTTTAATTGGCTATTTTCAAACCAGAATAAAGCGGGTGCTAAGGGCCCTTCTAATGCAGTGGTAGTGCCCCTACCTTTAATCAAGAAGGCTTGGATTCAAGTCCTAACTGCTCCAGAGATGTGTCATAACATGTCTGAACAGCTTGATTAGATATATCTATAAACCGGGTGCCATGGTGATAAGAATAGTTATTATTTTGGAGTTAATGGGGCTTCAGGATGTTCTTGGGAAATAAAATGTAGATACCAAGTAATGAGTGTCCAGGACTCGGTGGTTATAGCGATTTGGGTGTAGTTCCCAGAGATTTAAGTATGTTTACTAAAGGTGGAAGATTTACTGAGTCTTGGGAATGAGGTAAAAAGTCAAAGTTCAGTTCACCTCAGCAAAATCAAAGGAGGAGAGAAAGAGAGTAGAAATTTGAACTAACAGTCGAATGTAAGAGCAATGTCAGTCTAATTACACATGGCAGTTTTAGAATGGGTGTCAGCGCACAGTGATCAACATGTGGAGTGGACCCCTAAATGAAGCAGTGAAAGCAAAGACTAGGATTCCTAGGGAGAGCCAAGAATATAGTGCAGGTCATAGAGAGAGCTTGCTTAACTCAGAACCTCAGGACCATTCTAATGCACCATATAACCGATGAAATACGTTTGAACTATAGTCTCTGTTTCAGTGGTAAGGGTATCAAACAGGCTCAGGCCTTTATTTACGTAAGTAAAGGGATGTATGGCCTGTTGAGAGAGGGGTAGTACCCTGATACTCCAGTCACCTGTAGGATGGACAGGAGTCACTGGCCCTGAGGTAGACCCATCTCTCATTGGTCTCTCCAATGGCCACAGCCAGGCCCAGTATCTCAGCTGATGGGCAACAAGTAGTGAGGGGAGAAATAATGAACCTGACACCATCTGGGCCAATGTCTTCATAGTCAAAAATATCAGTCAAGGTGGAAGGATGGCAAGTGTACCAAATGACAATCACGTTCTGGACCACACTGTCTAAATGATGGTTATTAGTACATCAGACAAGAATAAAATAGCAAGGGAAGAAAGGTTTGATCAAGCTTTGGTCAGCGACCTTCTGGGGAGAGTGGAAACTCAGAAACTATGGCTTGGAGACTTTGCGGCTGCCATCCTAATTCACTGGGCCATGACAGGTTTAAAGGGTGGGGTCAGACACAGCAAACTGCTCCACCTTAAAACTCCACTTTGCAGGAAAAATTAATGAGTCCAGCTTCCAAGTGAAACACAACTAGCAGATCATGTAGCATCGGCAAACGGGTGAAAATGGCATGCCAGATGATGATCAAAAGACAACATCATCACATGGTGACCACACCCTGGCTGACACTACAGAAGGACTGCACTGCCTACCCCTGAGTTGGAGAGGAGCCTAGAAAAAATGGCCTAAGTAAATAACTGCCTTCCCACCACCCAGTTGGCTTGCGGCAATCAACGGGCATCTCATCATGTGGCCAAACCGCGACAGAGAAGAAGACTTGAGCTCCAAACTCCATTACAAAAGAAGGAAAGAGCAAACATTCTGACCCGTGCTTGCTGGAACGTGAAACTCTGGTGACAACAGTTGCCCTCTATGATGCTCAGGCCTGGTGGCCTGTCATTGAGGTAGACTCGATTTAGAGGCAGCATGGCCTGAGTGAGGGCTACTTCGTGGAACAAGACATTATGATGGAATGCAATGCCTGCTGCACCTTCTACTGGTCAGGAGGACCTCAAGGTGAACAACGACTTCTCAGTAAAAACCAAAAGAACTGTGGATGCTGTAAATCAGGACAAAAACAAAGTTGCTGGAAAAGCTCAGCAGGCCTGGCAGCATCTGTGAAGGAAAAAACAGAGTTAATGTTTTGGAGATAGTAGGAACTGCAGATGCTGGAGAATCCGAGACAACAAGGT